AGACCCATGATCTGAAGTGACAGGATATGAAAATGGAAAGTGTGCGGTAAGCCTCACGGGTCGTACGGTCCGTGTGCTAACCTATCCAATTCTCTCACCACACACACTCACATCGCGTAAAAAAATCACGATCTGATGAAAGAACAATTAATTATTCGTGCGACGAAATACTTCCATCTGATTTAATAACAATGTTGGTACTAACAATGATATCTAAAAAAACGAATACTAAATAAGATGCATTAAAAATACCAGGTTAGCCTCTGAATCTATTTCCTCTGGAAAATAAAGAAAAAAAGGAACACCCACGAAGAAATTTAACTTCTGATTAAAGACAAGCACATGAAGCGGACAACAGCATCTACTATAGTACATTAAGAGCCAAGTGAAAACAGGCCGACCTTTCACCTTTATGAAAGTTTAAAGTTAACAGTTACACGCCAGCGATTAAAATGGTGTGAGGCCAAAACGAGTAAAATACACGCGAACACCCTATTGCTAAACCGTCAGCTGTTCTCGTCGAACTACAGCGAAGTGGGAGCAGAGAACAATTAGTGATTCTCGAGCGCCCATATTTTTTTCGAGGTCTCTTTTTCGAAATGACTTTTTTTTCCAGTTCATGATGACAGTTTGGTAGATCTGCTTCTTTTTTTTTTTATTTTCCTAAAGTCTAAAATAGTTTTACTTGTTTTTGCACCACCCCAGTTTAGAGGGTTATTATCAGTCTTCACACACACATCTATATGTGTGTGTATATGTATGTATATAAAAATATGAAAAATATATACATACATATGTGTATATATACATATACATAACATATATATATATATATATATATATATATATATATATATGATAATATATTATATATATATATATATATATATATATATATATATATATATATATATATATATATATATATATATATATATATATATATATTATGTATATGCGTGTGTATAAAATATGAATAAATGATATATATATACATATACATACATATGAATACACACATGTGTGTGTGTGTGCATATATGCATGTATGTATTTATAAACACACGGACACATCACGCGTGTGTGTGTGCGCGCGCGCATATGCGTAATTTCCGAAAGACCAGTCTGGCGTCCTCTGCGACCTGCAGAATCCGTAGCTTTGTACACAAACGCACATCCAGGAGCGTCACCACTCCTTTGTGTGGCCGCCGAACAAAGCGGCGAGACACATCGACCTCGACGGACGCGTAAACACAAACTAGTAAGCTCCGAAACACCTGACTCTCTCGTAACGGATTTTCCAGCAGAAAACAAAAGGCGTTTTAAGGGTAAGCTCATAACCGGGCTCGTGATGCCTTTGTTAACGCTCTCTGTTCTCGTTGATCAGGGTCAGTGATAGTGATATTACCAAGAGCAATTTACAACATGCGTATGTACTGCAAATGTTTTTTTTTTTTTTTTTTTTTTCTTTTTTTCTACTGAATATGCAGGACATAAATTGACGTCCATAAATACAATGACTTATTTTTATCTTTTATGTTTCTCTTACACCCTTCAGTACGCTTTTTTAACCCCGGTGTGTGTAAAATGTGTAAATCGATGTCATACGGAATATATTAGGTAAGTTAAAGCCCTTAACTTGAATTTGAATTAGAAATTATCCAATGCTTTCTGCTCTAATATTCTCAAAGAATGTCATGATAGTTTCTTATCAACTAGAGAAAATGATCACCTATGAATTAAAGTGAATTTTCAAATTAATTCTAATGACATGTCGGCCCTGTTGCCCCTTCGACTAGGCCCCATCGCTCCTCTCACCCGCTGCTGGAAATCTTTCACAGCCTAACCACTCCATTCGCGCCGCCCGTCCAGAAGCTCCCAGGGTCACATTATCGTACACAATACTGTCACCGTCGACCCCTCCCGGAGCTTCTCGCTGAACGTTTCTCTTTGTTGCCAACTAGAATTGAAACAGCACTGCCCTCATTACGTGGCGTCCTCTGTGCGGCGGTCACCTAGATGTTCATGGAGTCGCTTCGCGTGGCTGGAACATTATCTTTTTTATCAGCTCCTTTGTTCGAGCGGTTGCCACTTTATACACCCATGCAGTTCTGCTATTAGTGACACATCTGTACAGTGGATTGCAGAGGGTGATTTCACGATGCTATGATGCCTACTGCGCTAAAACCACTATGTTATGGCTTGATAAATTGGTCACCCTAAAACGGTTGAAACAAGTTACAAGAAAAACATGATCGGCAAAGTAACGGTTTCATTTACATATAAAAGATCTGGATAATCAACCGATTTGCCATGTGAATTACATGGTTCTTAGCCTAGTAAGTCCATTGCTTCTCTTCACATCCACTTAGAAATTCACAGACCGCGGGTTAGCCTAAGCAGAGCTCCAGAAAATGATTTCGCTGGATGAGATGCCGAAGCCCTCTCTGCAGACGGAGCTCTGTGTCCTTACCGCTGTTTTCGCCAGGACTTCTCGAAAC